TCACAACGGTGACGAACTGACTCACTGGTGTTTACCTTCGAGTCTGTAGATCTGCTGGTTCCCAGCGCACCGATATAATAATGACATATCGCCAGGCACTAAACGGATCGAAACGACGAACCCCTTCGATTTCCGTGGGACTAATGCAATTTACCAGTAAATTAGTTCGCACATGCAACTGCAAATGCGGCTAATGCCCGATAAAAGGGAAAAGAGTCGCGAATCGAGAGCGTATAACAACCGATGACGCCAACAAATGGCTAAGAAAACTGGTCTGAACAGCATTTACAATTTACAATAAACAACAATTGCAGTTGCAAAACAACAGAAAGAGCGGTACTTAACATAGAGAGGATCGGGAGAGAGCTAACAGAGAGTGCCAGAGAGTGCAAAAGCGAATCGACTTTCCATGGCATTGCCAATGAGTGGATGATAATAAAACACGCTTTCAAATTGTCTTTTCCACGCGGTTTGTTGTTGTTACATGGAGAAAAGTGTACCACCCACAACGGGTAACTAACTTAATACTCTGCCTGGTATAAAAATAAACTAACTTAACTAAAAAATATTATTTCAAAACTTTGGAGTCTAATTGTTTAAATATTTTATTTTTTTGATATTTTTTGCTGTGAAATTTATTTTATTTTAATTATATGCAAATTTGTTAAAAAGTCTGTATTTTGTTAACACATTTTTATTCATTTTTTTCAATTTTTAAATCTATAGATATCATAGATATGGAACTGTTATCCCAACATATTTCTTTCACTGTGACCGTACATTTCGTACATTTGATTATACAGCTGCTACTCTTCATTGGTCGTAGCATAGCATAGCATATGAAAATCAAACGATAAATTGACGCGGTGCCACTAATTTTCGTGCATATGAAACAAGCTGTACGGAGGTGGTTGTTGTCCATGCAACAAATGTCCCAGCGAGTATAGTCGGATAATTACATTTGACCTTTCACGGCGCGGGTTTTTGTGGGTTTATTTAAATGCCGTCACTAATATCCGAAAGCGATTTGTGTGTTTCGGATGACTGTGCATCACTGAGATCACCGTAGAAATGTGTCGTACATGCTGGCTAAATATCCGATATCCAGTATTTACTTTTGTCAGTAACAATTCGCGTTGGCTCAACACGTCGACCTCGTTAACCGGTCCGAAAAGCGTCTCTCCGCTAGCACGACTTTTTGCTCGGCGGTTCGAAAAGCGACTGAAATAGTGAAATACTGAAAAGCTGAACAAATGAGCAGAGAGCCCCGAGTGGCGAAGCAACAGAGCAACCAAACATCAAGTGTTTGCCTTTGTGGGGTGAGGCGTATTTTGATTTTTGTATTAGCGGGCGGCGGTGTGTTGCCAGACCGCGGGAAGTAACCGCTCAAGAAATCAATTTTAGCTGGCGGTCGCCCTTTGTTACTGCCCTTTAACGGTTAATCAAGATTTACATACACGCAACACGGTTTGTAATTAGTTATCACACATCTGGATGTCAGAATTGGAAGGCCAAGTGTCAGGCTGACAAATGATATGAAAGGTCTAAGGACCAAGCCCAAAGATAATCATCCTTTGGCATCGTAAACGGTAAAAAAAAAAAATATCAGACTGGCCCATGAGGGGATCGAACCCGCGACCTTCGCGTTATTAGCACGACGCTCTAACCAGCTGAGCTAATGGGCCATGTGTGTTCGGCTGCCAAAAGGCGTTCTAGAGGAGAAAGCTTACTCAACTGACTTTGAAAATCAAAAATCAAAAGGAAATCTCAGCTACAAAAGCTTATTGTTCTAAAGTTTAAAACTAAAACTTTTATTAGTAAACATAAATCAACATAACTACTGAAATTCTTCACACTTGCACCATAGAAATTTCAAATCCTAAAAAACGATGCCCGGGATTTAGAAATCCCAAATACCGGCGAGCGATAGAAAATTCAAAACCGAGGATGGAATAGGGGATTTCTGAAAAAAAAATTTCTGTTTTTAGGGTGATTCCCTAATTAAGGTATTTTTCTAAAATTAAGGGCGAATTTCTGTTTTAAGGCGAATGCCCTAAAAATAGACAAATTAAAAAACGTGTTTGACAGCTAACGAATTGGGAAGCATTTTTTTAATCGTCTATATCGGGAACTGGGACTGCTTTAATAAACAACACCGGCGGAGGACACCGTTTCATATTATGATTGGGTGAGCTTATATGGGAGCCGCGAAGAGGGGGCCCGATCTATACAGCACAGCCGTAAAACTGAAAAACATGTTGTAAATGAATTAGGAAATGAATAGAGGAAAAAAACAACACTTTTGGTCATTGCGAGAATCGAACCCACGACCTCTCGGTTTAGAGTCAACGTCCTACCGCTGCACCACAGACCCCTCGCGCAAGACGACGAACAAACTCGCACACACTATTTTCTGAGGTCTACGTTATAATATGACTAAAGGCAACTAAACCGTATATTTTTCCTGACGACTGTACAATAGTCCCGTTTTCTTGCCCGCAAACACAAAGTATGCTTTAACTCAGAACTCCCAACGTTTTAAGGTTTAAAGACTACTTTAATTTAAAATTCGACGAAAAAAGTCCTCAGTATTATAATGTTTAAAAAAAAAACATAAAAACAAGTTGAATCACACAGGGTCGAACCCACAACCCCACGACCTTAGTCCTCATATAGCAAAGTGAAAGCGCAAGGATTAGACCGCTGGGCTACCGAATTCACACTTTGGAGGATTTTAAGGCAAACCGCCCCTGTATTTAGAAAAATTTTAAAAAAATAGGCAATCGCCGTTGGATTAGAAAAGGCAAAACGAAGCAAATCGAAAAAACCCCAAATATTAAAAAAAAAAAATAACCCTAAAAATATTTATTTATGGTCACCTGCCTTAAATTATGGCAAATTGCGAAAAAAAATTTTTCTCAGTTCAAAGCGAAAAATTTTTAGGCGATTTCTAAAAAAAAATTATTTATGAGTGTGGTAAACTTAAAGCAAAATGCATTAAATATTCATACACACGTTAAAGAAAGTTAAAGAACTAATGGTTGTCCATTGAGTTTTATTTTTACCAAAAGCATTTAATAAATTGACGAGTCATGGGTCAACCCGTTAAAAAATATTATTTCGTCCTTGATTAATGACTGATGATTTAGCAAGCAAAATTCAAAGGAAGTCAGAGTCAGATTTGGCAGAAAAAAATAATCATTGTTTTTTTCTTGAACTGGATTTTTTTTATTCTTCTGGTTTCGTCACGAAAAATATATCAACTTACAATTAAAATTACTCACTAGTCTTTTAAAAACTAAAGAAAAAAATATATTTTTTTCTTGGTTTACATGTTTATTTTTTATTTTGAAACAGATACAAAACTTATTTGAATATCTATTGTCATATAAACAATAACACCCTTAAGAGAGGTTATAAAGTCGTGACGATCACATTCTCAAGGAATAGAATTTATGAAATCAAAATTTCTAACAAAAAATTTATAAGTATTTGACTAAACTAATAAACGCGTAAAAAGAAAATATTAGGCTCTATGCTTTCAAATTGTAAATAAAAAAAAAGTTTGTCAGAAGTGGGATTCGAACCCACGCCCTCAGAGAGGACCAGAACGCTCATACACTTTCGTTCAGAAAGCAAGATTCAACATCTTGAGTCTGGCGCCTTAGACCGCTCGGCCATCCTGACATATGGCAATCGGCCGTCCGAATCGCTAGTTGTGAGCGTGTATACAGAATGTATAACACTATGAGAACAGTTCTGCAAATGGTATAACAGTTCCTCATAACATAACATGAAACTGTTAAACGCAATGCCTAGCAGAGCTGTTAACTCAGCTCTTTACATTAATACGCATTTTGGCAGCCCCAAATACATGGCCCATTAGCTCAGCTGGTTAGAGCGTCGTGCTAATAACGCGAAGGTCGCGGGTTCGATCCCCTCATGGGCCAGAATGAATTTTTTGCTCATACTTTTTTTTTAATGCACTTTGGAAATTAAAAAGTTGCTATAGGTTTGATGAAAATGTGTCCCGCAAGCTTGTCGTTGAAAACCAAGATAAGCTAAGCCCAATTATGGACGGCTGCTAACGTTATCTCATGCCGTGCACGTTAGGGCACCGAGTATCCTGCGGTGATGTCACATAAAGCCGACAAGGATGATCTAACGTGGTCTATTTCTTGCAGGGCAGCTAAGTGAAATGTCAATTCAATTTGCCATCAAGGATGATTGAATTACTCGCCCTTTCAGCTACCCAACGGCTGCGCGTGTGGGGTATCTTAATTTGCTTTGGCAATCAAGCTAAACGGTTTATTGAGCGATCTTATCTGCGCAACGAGTTGAAAATGCTTTTAGACAATAGATTGCAAACAGAGAAAATCCTTATTTATTGCTCTTTATCCCCGATTCCCATGGTGTTACTTAAGGACACATATTGGGCCGGCCCTAAATCAAGTGTCAGGATGGCCGAGCGGTCTAAGGCGCCAGACTCAAGGTTGAGAAATCTTGCTTTCCAAACGAAAGTGTATGAGCGTTCTGGTCCTCTCTGAGGGCGTGGGTTCGAATCCCACTTCTGACAAATATTTTTTTTCGTTTTAAGCGAAAGAAATAATACAAATTTTAGCCGGGTACCGAAAATAACTGAATTTTTGAAAGAATAAGTGTGATTATCATGTTTCAAAGGGGTTCTAAGCTGCGGAAACATGGAAATCTTGCAATTTTAAAAGCGAAATAAAGACTTTGGCTGAAGAAGTTTACATTCTAATTTTGCCGACCCTTGTGTTAAAATTCAAGATAATTGTATAATCAAAGTGCAAAAAAATAAAAGATATTTATATAAAAAATGTGTGTAATATTTTCAACATGTTGTTATTATGAAGATAGATAGTATCTATTAGATACCACCTTCAAATACAGCTTTAGTATCAACACAGCAGTTTAACCTGTGTAAGCAATCAAACCTGCTTTACTATATAAGTCAGATTCAAAACAAAGAATACGTATTATAATTTGTATATTTTTGTATCAATTAAAAAATGTCAGAGGAACAGCCGTCGAGCTCGTTGCCCAAGTCCATCCTAATCGTGAAGGAGGAGGAATTGGATGGAGCAGGAGGCGATGGCGTCAAGGAGGAGGTCTCGAAGCCCACGAAAAACGTCACCTTCAACCGGGTGGTGGAGTACTTCTGGTACTCGGATAACTTGACCAGATGCACGAGACACCTGATGTCCGACAACGACTTGGTAAGTACGGAAATAAAGCCGCCTTTCCATATTGATTTGTGTATGCTTTTTTCCAGCGACGAAGTATGCCGCCAGAGTCAAAAACTTGCTTCGTGAAGAACTGAGAACTAAGCCAAATTTATGACTCCATCGCCATATTGCAAAAGCAACACTGAACAAACACAGGCCACAAGCGGAAGTTGTTAACCGAACGTGACACTTTTAACCTAATTGGGGAATAAATGGCTGCCCATGTCCTGCCTGTCAGTTGTTTTTAATGCATTTCCCATGTCCGCCGATTGCCGAGGAAGCAATGGAGCAAATGGCCAATGAGTTATTCATGATTTGTACTTATGTTGTTATATTTTTGTGTGTTCGCATTAAAAGCATTAAGAGCCGTTGCTTACGACGTATTCTGGCCTTCGATTCAACTCAAAAGACGTAAGAGGGCATGCAATTTACAATGTTTTCTGTGTGCCGCTGCAGCGGAAGGAGTAATCTGCATTTGAAATATTTACAATTGGTAAGGCCCAGCTAGATGGAGGACAATGGATTATGGCCCCTTTGGGACGTCAAAACAAGCATTCTAACGATAAGTGTAAGCCCCGCAACTGACCTATCTCACCGAATCGGTTGGCAAATCGATAACCAGTACCTATATTAATCCTCCCAGCACCTGAAGATGGGCTGCCGGGCAATCAGCTATTGATACGGATGATATATGGCCGTGTCATTTGACTCCCTTATCCGCACGGGCAATGCCCAATGGTAATCGCCAATTGCGTGGCTATAAAAGGCCCTCCGAGGGCAGTTAGTTAGCCAGCCGAAGTCGAAGAGTGTTATTACAAACATGTTCCTGCTGACTGTGACTTTTCTAGCCATGCTGTTGGCCATCACGAATGGCGCAGTCCTTCCCTTGGGCCTGGAATCACCGCAGGATGGCCGGATTGTGGGCGGCATAGCCAGTTCTATTGAGGATCGTCCCTGGCAGGTCTCCCTTCAGCGTTCAGGGGCTCACTTCTGCGGCGGTTCCATTATCAGCAACAACATCATCGTGACCGCCGCCCACTGCCTGGACTCCCCGACCACGGTCTCCAATCTCCGGATTAGAGCGGGTTCCAATAAGCGAACCTATGGGGGAGTCCTCATTCAGGCGGCTGCCATGAAGGCCCACGAGGGATATAACTCCGAGACCAAGGTCAACGATATTGGTGTAGTGCGTCTGCAGACTAAGCTAACCTTTGGCTCCACCATCAAGGCCATTGCGATGGCAAGTGTAACGCCAGCCCACGGATCGGCGGCCAGCATTTCAGGCTGGGGAAAGACCTCCTACACGGGTGGCTCCTCCTCCGGAACGCTGCTCTATGCGGACACCAGAATAGTGGGACGAACGCAGTGCGCCAGTTCCACCTATGGCTATGGTTCGTTTGTAAGGGCCACCATGATCTGTGCGGCGGCGGCGAACAAGGATGCCTGCCAGGGTGACTCTGGTGGACCTCTGGTATCCGGAGGCCAGCTGGTGGGCGTCGTCTCCTGGGGTCGCGAGTGCGCCCTCGCCAATTATCCCGGCGTATTTGCCAACGTGGCCGAGCTGCGCGATTGGGTGCTCCAGGCCCAGAAGACTGTCTAGCTTAAATTAAGCTCAATAAAAACTAAACTCGTACTCGTACTGCAGCTGGCAGGGCTTTCCTTTCTACTGCTGCTTCCGCTCATTTGACTGCTCAACAGCAGTGACTTGTGAATTCTGTCCTTAGTCCCCACATCCCCACATGCCTCACTTGCGGCAGCAGGACGTGCCCTTCCTGTGGGCCACGCCGCTCGAACATGCAATCTGGGTCAGTCCACAGGGGTTGGCTGCCGTTCGGGCTGCTCGGGGGCCTTTAAATCCGGCGGGCCACCGGGGAGGCGGCACAATGGTAAGCCAGTTACAGCGTTTGCATACTCAACGCCCAGTACAATCGGGTGACATATCTGTGACATGGCTGCGAATGACATATAAAATCCCTGTCTATTCCATTTGCACATTTTAGAATTACTCTTTTGAATTTAAGTGAAGAGCCAAAAGGGAATTTTCCAGTTAAATTTTGTTTTTTATTACATTTTTTACAACCTATTTTCCTTTCTTATATTTTAAAGCCCTTCCTTTAACGGAACTTGACCAATTCAAACCCTAAGCTTAAAGCTTTTTTTTTAATTTTTGCCAAGACAATTAAAATAATAATAAAACGTTGGTATCAACAATGAAAGTTTTGACTGTATGTGGACATTAATTAAGTTATCTTTGCATTTCTGGGATGTACATAAATTAAATAATCATCTAATCTAATCATTATTAGTCTTCCATAGTCGTTATCAATTGTAAATTGCATAGCCAACAATAAATTATATACACTTTCTTGAAAAGAATGCCTGGGACTGCCTTGCAAACACGTATGATTAAAGCAGTGACTTTTTTAATTGCCCTATTTTAACTGAATTTAATTGTAGCCCAACGGAAAAGTTTGCCTTGCAAATCCTGCTGTAAATGATTTATTACGTTTGTTTATACTAGCAAAAGTCGTATTATTCGTAAAGTTCTCTTAGCAATAACAGATAAATATTTTGTAGTTTCAGTATAAGTAATTAAATGGTTTGAAAAAGGAAATACGAAAATTAAAGTATCCAGAAACATACAAATGATTAAATTTTATTTTAAAGAATAAATAAATAAGGCATGAAAGGGATTACAAATTTATAAACCAGAAAATGTACGTTCATTTAGCTTATTTGGTTAGCTAAACCCATAACTCGCTAATCTTGTTTAAACCACAAGCATTCGAAAATGTCTTAAACCAATGTTTGCTTAAATTGAACATGGCAATCGAAAAGTATGGTATCTAAGCAAATAAAGTAGTTGGCAAACCAATCTCCGGGCGGCAATGGCAGTGAAAAACCGCACCCTCGCTCCACTGAGCTCCAGACGACGGGGCGCCAACGGTATTGATCCAAAACGTCGAGGGAGAGGCGACACAGAGAGTAGAACCCATGCCCCAACCCATCCACAAGCAGCATCTACAGATGGTGACTAGCCTATGGAATGCCAGGGATTCCTGGGAATCCTACCTTTCTCACACCCCAAAATCCCAACTCACCTTCGTACTCAGTTCGCTTCCTTCGCAGAAATGAGGCGGTCATCCGGAGGCCCCGTTGGGCCAGGACCGAAACGCGGCTCCTGCCGCTCTGTCGCGATAGAATGGAGCCCTTAGAATCCTTGCGGTTGGACGACCGTCGACGGGAGGACAGCGTTCCAGCTGCGGACGTGGCTACCGAGGCGGGTGGCTGCAGACCCGAGACCGGAGTCACCGGCGTATTAGGGCGTGTCCGAGTCGATGAAGCCGAGATTGCTATTGGCACTGTTCAGGTGGATGCTGGAATGATCCGTGGGCCCGCACAGCGTAACGCTGCCGCCGCTATGAACGCTATGCGACACGGAGGCGGCCAGCTGCTCATCCAAGCCGTCCGACGGCGCGCGGCGTCAGGTGCTCCAGGGACTCGAAGTCCCGGCTAATGGCCGGCGGCATCGAGTGGCGGAACCACGAGTCCTGCCGCTGCTGGGCGACGCGCTGCTGGCGCCTTCGCTGGCTGGCCGAGGAGCCCGAAAGGTTCCTTAAACGTCCATCGGGATCGTCCACGGATCCGTGGTCCGGACTGCGGAGCTCCAGGCTCTGGCGCTGGTAGTTGCCCGACATTTCGAGGGCTTCTCTTGAAGGAGAGCAGGGGAAACTAACTCCCAAGGCACTACTTTTGGTCAGGTTTTAGCCTCGGCAGGCACTCTCAAGGCACTTGTGGCACTACTACTACTATGAATCGTTCCCCAATCTCGTTATGTAAGCCGCTCAACCTGTGACTTGGTGGGTGGTTCCATGGCCGTCTCCTTACCCAATTTCCAATTCCCATGCCCAATTCGGGGGCCTTGACTCTGACAGGTGTTGAGAACCGGAACAACTGGCGACGGAGACGGAGACGCTGCCATTAGTCGGACGACTTTAAAGCACCGAATTCCAGCTAATACATCAAAAATTCATTGCAGTTCTGACATTTACGGGTAATATTGTTTGCCTGTCACGCATATCTGGTCGGCGGAGTTACGGGTATCTATAGACTTTCAAGTGGAATCAATCTTCCTGGCATGAATCTGTGACAGTCTAAATAATTAAAGCGTCGCTCACGGCGGAAACCTTCAGATTATCGAGCTGCAATTCGCGACTTCAAGTGTCCCGACTGCAGTGCTAAATTGAGTATTTACACCTCTCGAATTACGCTGCACCGTAATTTTGCGGAAGGTACGAAAAGGAGCGGGATTACGACGGGGCCGCCTTTCAACGATTTCCCACGGCAAATGGCAAAACAATTGCTGCTGCTGGCGGCAGCCGAAAAAAAAACACGTCCAAACCGAACCGAAGTCAAAAGCCAACTGCGGATCCTCCACGGGAAACGAGAAATAGGGAAAGGACAGCCGCCTTCGGGCCCGAGCCCTTTTCAGCCGAACAGCCGATGTGGACCATGAAAAGTTTTTCTTTAAAATTGTATATGTGTCGCTCAGGAATACCCGCTCGAATGTGGGCCACGCCAGGCACTAAATAAACTACGAGATAAATTGGGCAACTATGAAAATGCGACTGTTTATATTTTACATTTTCCATGGGCAAGTAGTTGTTGCCTCTGCGTGTGCTTTTCGTTCCCGCAACTTAAGTTTCTCTTGGCCGCATCGAGTCACCGCGGCCCATTAGCTCAGCTGGTTAGAGCGTCGTGCTAATAACGCGAAGGTCGCGGGTTCGATCCCCTCATGGGCCAACTTTACTTTTTTTTCTTTCTTTTTTTTTTTTTTTGTTATGTATTTATGGAAACGGTGGGGTAGACTTGGTATCCAGGTGCAGTTATAGTAATCTTATCGTTTTATTGTTAGCGACCGAGATTCACCAAGGTTCTATCAACTTTTGCTGGTAAATTCTATTTTTAGGGGGCGTTTTCCACGAATTTATAAAAGTAGTTTGTAGAATTGTACAGACTGTTTATGCTAATTGTATTTTCTGAATGGATTACAAAGAATAATGTCAATCCAAAGTTTAATAAACTAACAATGCTTACACATCTCAGTTTGCGTAACCTCTGAATCATTATAGTTATTTTAGCAAATGTAGTACAAACATATTTATTTGTGGGCCTATCTTGAACAAAAAGCCCCTTAGACGTTTGTATGTTACAATGACTAATATAACTTTTTTGATAGCATTAAAAATATGTCTTAGTAAAAACTCATTTGGAATAAAAAAAAATATATATATTTTTGCAATTAATTTGCAATAACAAAATGCAAATACAGAAATACACAGATTATTTCTATTCCAGGCAGAGAGAGAATCCAGAGCTTATAAACTACAGAAGTTAGAACTTGCACGGCTTGAGGTGTGGAATTACTTACACGGATTTAGGAGGCCGGGCTCGGGGGTTTCGCTGCGGCGATACGACAGGCGAAGGCGTGAAATGGAGGGCATAGCTTCCTAGAGAGCAACTGGTGACCGAACATAAACATCCGAGACAGTCGCAGAAGGGAAAACCAAGAAAAGGCGGCCCTTGTTTGGCTTCCGATTGTTTATTTCCGCACAATCCGTTCGGTTCAGTTCCTCGAAGAAGGCAAAAGCATTTATGCCAGCAAACATAAATGCCATACACTACACCCGCACTAATATTTACGCACTGTTGGTTTGGATGGTATTCTATTTAAACTCGGTGAATAGGGAACATATACATTTTACATATATGTTTTGATAAGGGAGTAAACAAAGCCGCAACTAGACCGATAAGGTGCTCTTACACCGTTCCACCCGATTTTCTCTATCTGGACTTGGAACTCGATTGGTCTTAACGCTTTACGGCTCTATAATTATTGTAAACACGAGTCGCGACGCTTGTTTTTGCTTTTTATTATTTCGCTTTGCGCTTTTTATGATTAGCAGCTGGCACGGTTGCATTCGCTTTTCTGCAGATCTGGCAGCTCTGCTAAAAACACCTGTTTGCAGTTTATCGAATATCGTTGGTGGACTGTTTAAAAAGTCCGTTAGGTCAATTTAAAAATACAAAATAACGGAAACTTAAAAAAAATCTACCCTATTAATATACCACCATTAACATATTTTATTGATTTCTGTTATTTCATTTCCCACCATTAAATTAAGCACAAAAACACAAATTTAATTCTAACGCAATTGTTTATTCCATAAAACGACAGGGTAAAAATTACTTATTTTCTAGGTCTTGTTCTCCAGGACACCGCCCACTACTTTTTACACATTGTACAAAGGGATGCTTCGAAACAGAGTTATTGGATGGCAACGTGGTTAAACCGTTTTGGCGTACAAGTCAAACAATTATTTCAATATCCGTTTCGATGATTAGCTGAAATCAGGGATTACGCAAGTACAGTTAAGCAGTAGGAGAATACGTTAATAAAGCGGTAACTACACGCAAGTTATACAAAATAAAGTGGGGTTATTCGACACAAGAATTCGGGTGAGTATGCTAGAGAATATTCGTACAAGTTTAGGTTTTAGGTACTAGGAGGATATATACATTCTAATATACATGTGTCATTCAATATGAATGAGTGCGCCGGGTTAGATACATTGGATCAGCACTCAGTTGTGCCTAAAACAGGTGTGTGATATTTCATTCAATGGGCTGGATTCCCTCAACAGTCTTTAGAAAATGCATGGGTACTTCGTGTTAATAACTTCGTTGTTTCTGTTCTCTTAAAGCATATGAAATATAAATAAATCAAGATCAAGTTACGCAACGAGACAAAAAAATACAATGCAGACAAACAATTAAAAATGGCAAGAACAATTTGAAAATGGCAAATGAATGATGGGGGTAAATGGCCTCTCGGGTTAATGCTGATATACTGGACGTCGGCGCGATCGTTATAACTCATTCTCCATGTTTGAGCGAACGTTTCGCAGCACGTTGTGCGTTTTTAGTATCTGATTTTTGATGTCTTTCTCGACTTGTGCTTTTGCTTTGTTAGCCAGACGCAACTTTTCGTAGGTGTCTTCGAATGCGCGCTTGGTGCGGATTAGTTTGCGCCGCAACTCGGCGTTTTCAAGATCTACCTTGGCACAGTCGTGGACTGTGGCTGCAGCAGCAGTGGCCAGGTTGCTCTTGCTGTCGGGTGATGGGGATTCTGTGGAAGGGGAAGGGAAAATCCAATTAGTTAAGTAACCTCTTAACGGCGAGATTCCATCAAACTCACCCTCTGAATTTGTCTTTTCGCTCTTCATCTCCACAGTCTTGAGCATGGCTCGTTGGGCATTCGATAGCTCCACGCTGGAAATCCTTCCGGCATCGCTTTCTATGCCCAAGTCGGGGGACGAAGTGTTGATTCTCTGGGCCACCACCACTGCAGCAGCAGCATTCAGTTTGGCGGAGGAGGAAGCTTGGACCATGGGCACGGCCACCTCCTCGGATGTGTAGCCGGACTGGGAGACATCGCTGCCGTTGGAGCGCTTCTGCATCAGCTTCTTCTGCTCCTCCTTGAGCGCCTCCAACTGCTGCTTCAGCTCCTCGGAGCGCTTTTCCAGCTGCAGCTTGTCGTTGTAGGCCTTTGTGCGCTCCATCACCGCCTTCGAGGCCTGCAAAGTGCTCTCGTCCAGCTGCTTCTTCAGGGCCCGCGTGGCCAGTTCGTTCTCGACGAGGGTCTGCTTCAGCTCCTTCTCGTTCTCCTGGTGATAGTCCAGGGATCGCTGCAGCTCCAGCAGCTGCTGAGCCTGCTCCTGATACGCGGTCAGTGCCACCCAGTCGCGTTCGAGAGCCTCCTGGTGCAGGCGCTCGTGCTCCGCCAACTGCTGCATGGCCTCTTGCTTATGTTGCTCCAGTTGGGACTGCAGGCTGTCCACTGAATCGGCGTATTGCTGCTCCATTTCCTGCACCTGCTGCTGCAATGCCTGCAGTTCCATTTCGGTTACCTGCGAATCGGCAGTCAAAGTGCTCTGGGCCAGCTTCAGTTGATCGATCTGCTGGGTTTTAAGCTCCAGCTGGCGCTGCAGCTCAACCATTCGCTGATCCTCGTGCGAGCCAATGGCCTGCAGGTCCGCGGTAAGCGCCTCGTTGATGGCGCGCAGCTGCTCCAGTTGCTGGCTGATCTCCAGACAGCGCAGCTGCTCCTGCTTGTATCGATTGTCCAGTTCCACCAACTGGCATTGCACGTTCAGCAGGCGTTCGTCCTTCTGGGCAATCTGCTCCTCCAGCTGGGCGATACGTTCGCTGTTGCGATTGCGATCCTGGCGAGTGCCGGCGCAGGTCCTGCCCTCGCTCTCCGACTCGCTGGCCGGCTGCTCCGGCGCCGCCAGGCTATTGGAGGTCTCGTCCAGGCCTATGCGGGCCAGGGAAACCTTGCGATCTGGCTCCGACCAGGCCTCCGATTCGCTCTGGTTGTCCAACTGCTGCGAGGGCAGCGGCAGGGAGCGACGCTCCTTTCTCTGCTGCTGTCCCTCCGAGCTGCGTCGCTTCTCCAACTCCCTTTTAAGGGCCTTGTTCTCCGCCTTCAAGTTCTCCACCGAGGGAGTCATCGAGCTGGCGGCATGGATCTCCTCGTGCGAATTGAAGGTCTTGTGGCTAACATCGCCTTCGGTGTACAGGATCTCCGAAAGATTGCACAGTTGTGCGAGGCTCTGGTCGGCCAAGGATGCTCCAGTTATATTTAGGGTCATGTTAAGACTCTTGGAGAGATCCAAGCTGCGATCTACGGCCTTACGCATGGCATGGCGTCGATCGGCGGCCAGCACGCCAAGAACATCCTTGTGCTTCAGCAGAGAGTTGAGGAAGCCGGCCAGCTCCTCCAGTCGGTTGGTCAGCACACTGCACACATCGACGCACTCCTGGCGCCACTTGTCCGACGTCTCCACTTCCGAGCGAGCCTGCTGCAGTTCCAAGCGCAGCTGCCCAATCACAGCGCAATTCTGCTGATCGTCTGCGAGGCGCTGGAAGAGAACGTCCACCTTTCGCTGCAGCAGCTTGTTGCGCTCCAGTGCCCTCGTGTACTCCGCCTCCGTGAAGGATTGCTGCAGATCCGCCTCGCCGCCGGACTCCTCGCCAATCTGCGGCAGCGTCGTCCTCTGTTGATTTGCCACCAGCTTGGTGAGGCGCTCCACCTCGCGATTCTTCTCCCACAGCTCCTTGTTGACCAGGTTCTGCAGGTTGGCCGTCTTCTTCTTGACCTCCGCCTGCAGCTGCTTGATCTTCTCCTCCTGTTCGGTGATCTTCAGTTCGTAGCGCACCCTCAGATTGGTGGACATTTCCAGGGAGCTGGCCTCGTTGTCACTCATCGAGCGGCCCGTGGTCGATGGCGAAATAGTTGCTGCCTTATTGCTGTCGTTCTGAAAGATATATGTAATTGAATAATTGTTTTTAGGATGCAAAAGTTCTGTACGCCTTTTTCGAAATGTATGCTGTTTAATTGATCACAAAATATATTTTATTTTAATTTAATTTAATACGTTATTCAGAAGAAACCCTCATTTGGTGAAACAAAAACCCATAAAAGTTATACTATTATTTATGGTTTTTTATCTTGATTTTTTAATATGTTCACAAAATATTTCTGTGTCATAAATATATTTATTTTAGGACGCATATGTACGAGTGACCAGAATATAAGCAAAACATCTTTAGGTATTCTTTACAAAACAAGCGGCCTAATTGGCACTGAGGCCAGCGTACTCGAGGTTCTTTGTTATTTAAATTTAACCACAAAAGAAACTATTTAACCAATTTTAATAAAATAACAAAGGCCAACATAGAATGTTATGATATTGGTAAATCTCTCCGTTAACCAAGCTAAATAATAGAGTCCTGCATGAGTGTACTTGAAAGTCAATTTTTAAAATCAGTTAACTTGGATCATTTTTATACCCTTGCAGAGGGTATTATGATTTCAGTCAGAAGTTTGCAACGCTATAGTCAAGGCTAAAAATTTTTTTTTTTTTTTAAAAGGATTACCATTCCGTCTGTCCGTCTGTCCGTCCGTCGACTATCTAATACCCGTCACTTAGCTAAAGGGAATGTGCGAGGGAGAATCGGATATAAAACATTTTTTTTGATTGCGCGTATTTAAATATTCTTTTTAATGAATGGTCCGATTTGAAAAATGTCTTTTACATTTCGATAGGTATAAATATACACAACAAAATTGAATTTATACTTCTCGGAAATCTTTAAAGGCGTTAGACACATTTTAAAATCGCTAGTGGGCGGCTGTGGGCGTTTAAGGGGTTTTCGTGTTCTTGTTTTTCATAAGGAAAACAGGTGATTTAATATAAAATAATTTGAAATGCGAATAGTAAATAATAATAATAATAATTTACGTAGTTGAAAATCTCAACCTTCCAGCTTTTTTTTTTTTTTTGTAGTTTTCCGAGTGATCAAGTGAAACAAGTGATCCAAGTTCACTGAACTTTAAAATTTTTGTTACTTCAAATGCTACGAGTAACGTAGATAAATCTAAAAGAAAAATAACTCCTTACCTCCTTGTTAATCGACTGCTCCTTCTCCTGACTGAGCTTTTTGATCTCCTTCTCCTGGCTGCTCAGCTTCTGCATTAGCTTCTGGATGGTGCGACAGGCCTGCTCGTGGATCCGCTCGCGCTCCTTGAGCTTCTCCTGGGCATCCTGCAGCTCGCACATCTTGTCCGCCAGTTGGGCGCCCAGTTCTCGCTTGGCCTACAAGTAATCAGAGGAAACCGGAAAGGGCTACAGCTTCGGAATGAATCAACACAAGATTTTAGCTTAGGATTAGCTTGTACATTTAATGGAGTTCAGTAACATCATTCAATTGGGTCGGAGACATTCAATGAGGTCAAATTTAATACACTTTAACGAAAAATTTGTCGACGTCTGGGAGAAGCGACATCGTTCGTATTGAATATGGATGGGCAACTTCGGATTCATTTGGTTTCTATCAACGATCAACAAAATCGGAACGAATGAGAGGAAGCGATGTTCAAAAAGAGAAAATGACTGCTTTCAAATTGGACGAGAACAGCCCGATTCCAGCGAAGTAATCGAAGGATGATCCAAAGGATACTTGTAGCGGCATCCGGCTGGCATTCTGCAGGCACGTGTGCACCCGCATCATCAGCAGGACGAGCTTGAGGGCTACGTGCCCCAGCAACAAAGGAACTGACGAAATCCTGTATAGCTTGGCAGTGAATAGTTGTAGAAAGCCGTACTTGGCGCCGTCACGGCCAGCAAGGTAGCATGTCCGCTGTGCTGGGGATGCCCTCGCTGTGGAAGATACTGGGGATTCGGATATGACGGCTGCTTCTGCTGCTGCTGTGGACAACGACGTTTTAGGAACTGAGCACACTGGTAGCTGGATGGGAAAGGGCTTCACCTGAGCGGCCTTCCAATAGCAGAGGCTCTTGTGCGAGGAGGTCCCCTGAGTGCCATACAAAACGCTGATCGATGAGAAGTTTGAGTGCAATGAGGAAGTGCTGCCGCTACGTTCAAGAGAAGATGTGATACCAACCCCGGTATCCGTGGACGAACGCATCGGCTGAACGATGGCCACTCCGCGTTCCTTCTGCTGCAGATTGTCGGAGAGGTTGCGGAAGTAAAGATTCTGTTGCCGCACGATCTCCAGCTCGGTGTTTAGCTTGGCTATCAGTGCCTCATACTCCAACAGATTATTTAGCATACTTCCGTACGACTTCTCCTTGCGCTTGATGGTGCCCTTGAGGAGGGGAGGGCAAATAGAGGAGAGGATGGCTGGGGGATTGCAAGATGGGCACTCACTTCCAAAAGGAGGATGGACTGACGCTGCACGTCCATCGTGTTGGAGGCCTCCTTCATCGAGGCGACTTGATGCACCAGTTCAAGTTGCAGATTCTGGTTCTCCACTCGACACTCGCCGATTTCGGTCTTTAGCCCCTCAATGATTTTCTAAACACAGAAGTTCTCTTTAACCCTTCTATATCTAATCCCCTATTCTAACTACAGGAGAATATATATTAAATGGCTCTACTTACATTTGACGACTCGGCGGTTTCGGTGTCCTTTTCGAGGCGCTCCACCAGCTCGGCATTCTTAATGGCCAGCTCTTGGATCTTGGCCTCACAGGCGGTTAGCGTTTCCAAACGCTCCACCAGCGCAATTTCCAGCTCGTTCTTGGACGCCGTGTTACGCACATCCGACTCCTGCAGTTCCTTCTCCAATTTTTGCACCTCCAACTCCAGGCGCTGCAGCTTACTCACATCAAATACTGCAGTGCGTTCGCCAGGTTGATCAGACTCTGCCATCTGAGAGAATAATAAATTACAAATGGTTATGGTTATAGTTTTAAAACTAACGAGAAAAATCTTAAACCGACCTGGTACGATCGAATCTGATCCTGCAACTCATCGATTATCCTCTGGCTGTCAAAGTCCGCCTTGCGCTGCATATCCTCGTGGTGAGAAATGGCTCTGGCGGCATCCTTCAGCAGCTCCATCTTCTCATCGACGGTCTTCCGCAGCATCTCGATTTCGATCTTGGCATCGATGAGCTGTTTGCTTAGGGAGTCGGGGGAGTTGTTGGCACGGGCGCCCGGTTGTCCCTCCTCCATGAAGTAGATGCGGAGCTTCAGATTGAAATTCTCCTTGCGCAGCGTGGACATCTGCTCCTCCAACTCGCGCACTGATCGACCTTGCATCACCATGGGCGAGTGGCTGCCGCCCTGAGGTCGCACCGCATCGAAACTAGCATCTGCAAAGAGCGGAGAGTTTAAGATTAATTGAAATCAGCTTAGATCATAACACAAAGTTTACTGAAATTGGCTTTTCTAATGTTGTGCGAGGACGAGGAGCGATTTCTGTTCATGACTTGGTAGTTTTCGCCTAGCGGTTAGGGCGCAACCACATATAGAAAATATATAAAGTCAAACAGTGCGGCCCAATTAATGTACGAATACTCGTGTGTGTTGCCAAAACGGAATCCTAATATTCAATGATTTTTATGATAATTAAAACATAACATGTAATTCCGTAGCCAACTTTGATTAGATGGAAAGGATGGGCGCATTGAACAAGGTTATTTCTTCCTCAATAATAAAATATCTATCAGTTTTATAAAGGCTGTTTAAATTGTTCAGTTTGTTTGTATTTTTGTAATTTAAATTTTTATACCAAAAGATAAAAATGAATATTACTTCATCAATAAAAAAATCGTAGCTTTAATGCCTATGGTAAAATATTTAAAATAGTATCTTTGTTGCATAAATATTAAAATTCTTATATCCTAAGATAAAAGAATATTTATGATTTAGAGATTACCTTCCATGCCATTTCTACGAAATTAATTAAGCTTTTATCATAAGCAAGATATATATTTGCACTTAAAATTTAATTAAATATCTTTAAGTGCCTTATACATAATAAACGAAGCCACAAGGCAGAACCTGTATTATAAAAAAAAAAAAAAAAAAAAAAATACATTAAAAAACCATTAATCTCAAACTTACATGAGTTCTCCATAGTGGTGACATCTTGCAGAGCTCCCGGACTTGTGCTGTAAAGAAAGAGGAAATCTGTTAATTGAGCACAATAAAATTAACTCGCCGTGACCTCGCAGAACGTCCAATAAAACAAGTCGAATATAAGCGGTAATTAAGATTTTAATTTTGCATATACAAATTCACATATTTGGCAGTGATGACATAATGGCCAGACTATCTCTAACAATCTTTGACCTCTTCCATCTCGCTGGTCGAACAATCTGTGGCGTTGCCCGGCTGAAAGCATTCATCGATGGCATCCAGAGTGCCATTGCAGAACTCCGGGTAGACAGACCAGGCCGTCCAGCCCTGTTGTTTCTGGATAAGCTTGGCGCACAACGGACGGCCATGGTGATGTCGTCGCTCAGTAGGTGGGTGCAATTCACGTTGCAATCGTTGAATGCGTAGTATTCCGTTTGATTTGGCGGTGCACACCAGTAGCGATCGCTGATCTGGAAGAGGCCATAATCCCGCGACCCATCCGCATTGGCCTGTCCCACGACATGGGTGTTGAAGCGGCTCTCAAACTCGGCAATGCAAAGCCACAGGGGCAACTCCGATTTGGGGACATCTAATATGTAGAGCTGGCCCGCAAGTTCGCAGGGCTGAAGGCGAATGGCCAGCAGGGGCATGGAAATCCCCTGGAACAGGAACCACAGCACCGGGAGTACTCTCACTTTCGACCAACTTGATCGCACCATTCCAAGCGAGCTCCAGTCACGAAGTGGCTTTCCAACTCCGGCCATCTAAGTGCCTACTAGTATCAAGCGATCTTGAGTATCGCGCTTAATTCTGATTCTGAAACCGGTTTACATTATTTGGCCCGGGCTTATGACTTAAATTGGCAATAAATACTGGAAAATCGACGGACAATGCAACAAGGTTTGATGCTTGCGTTGCACTTTGTTCTGACTACTTAATATTTACTATTAATTAATGACATTTATCGAACAAGCAAACTGGAAATGATCGAAATTTCTATTCTAAGCATTCGCTAATTAAGAAACTGATTGAGTTTTTCTTGGGGCGTGAAAATGATAGATTTGTTTCCATTCAAATGAACACTCACAGTGCGAAACGATACTGTACGGAAATCATTTCATCTGGTTTTCTAATAAAAATATTTAATTATCAAGACATATAAATATTAATTGAATGATGGAAATCAATCTTAAGTTGACTAAAAACTCTTTAAAAAACTTTAAAGATAGTTTCGAAATGAAAGAAGTCGGCAATATATTTTTAAACCTCGGAAATCAAAGGGAATTTCCCATGAATAGCTTCTTGAATTTACGATCCGCACTGTACATTTGCTCAATCAATTACAGACACACCCAATTGCCCAAATCGGCAATCAACCTCTTTTTGTTTTTGGCCAATTGCTCTGTGAACTGAATTTCAGATAAAGTCACACTCGAATGATCGCACTTCCAAAAACCACAAGTCGAAATGGATGAGATTACACTTCCGCGCCTTAAATCCGCCGTGAAACGGGGAAGAGGAAAGCGCAATTAACCCGGTATAGATATACGATTACAGTAGGCCCAACCATTATAGAACCAGAACTTACCAGAATGCCGAGTTGCTGGAACTCAGAGAATATCTTTTGAATGGAGAGCCAGGTACATCCGTCGAGTGGTTCAGTGAGGTAGATCGAAAGATACCCGCCATATTCTACGTTTCATTTAGCATTTGCGCTCCTATAATCGTATTTATTTTCTTCACTTTTTATATATGTGTACGTATTTAGATTTATTTGCAGCGACTCTAAATTTGAGATTTAATTAGTTGTTTTTACGCAGGGTGGACACGTCACCCCCGGTTGTTGTTGTTGTTGTTCTTGGCTTTATTCCCTAAATACTTTTGCGGCGCACGCCAGACTTCGTTACGTATCCGCCATGTCGTCTTCCAAGGGGCAGGCCGCCATGAGTCATGGGCTGCTGGCCGACGTGCGCGGCAATCAGGAGCATTCAGCCGTAGAGCGGAAGAAGCTTCAAAGAGTCTGGCGCTCCTACGGATGGGCTGCCTCCCAGAGATGGGGGATGGACGACGACGGCGCATGTGGGCCACCACCACATCTCGCAAGATGCCACCAGATACACTGCACTATACTACACCTCTGGTCGTGATTTATTTTGGGAATTGAGCAAATTGCAAAAAGGCGACTGCAAAACGTGCACCGGACGAGAAAACGCTGCCAAACACTCGCACTCAATGTTTTGTTTTGGCTTTCGGCTATCGGTTACTATGGCGGTAATGAAAATCAATGGTTTAAGTTGAGGGACGTCGGCTGGATGCGATGGCAACCAACAGGTGGGCATTGGAAACGTGTTAGAACATGTGTCGCTTTCGTTAGCACCTGAACTTTGCTCTGGATGCGTTTTATGGCCCTCATATCGGCAGGTATACTGCCGTTAACAGCCCATTCTCACCTCACCTGGAACCGCGTGCTCCTCATCTACCTGACTGCCTGGCGCGTCTCGAGTGGGTGTCAAACTACGGCCAATGACACACAAAGGCGCCTGCATTATTCAACAAAGAAGTACAATAACAATAAACAGAAGTGCACTGAGCATATATTGAGAGATATGTGAAGGAAGTATTTCAGACAATAACCATATGGTTCAGGTTGTACTGTATCTTGAAGATCTTTGGACAGGTAATGCAAGAAGCAAAGTAACTACCTGTAGATATATTCAGACTATTTTTAAATGAACAAAACTTAACCATATGGATTTATTACATTCATAGACTTGGAAATTATAAAGCATTCATATATATTAAAATTATATCAGTACCTTTTAAAATTAAGTACAAGTTCTACTTTGAAAATTAAACCATATGAATAACTTAAATGTTTATGTTTGAAATATTAAATACTCTAAATTAAGCTGATCAAAAAATAAGCATAAGTTAGAAAAATACCTGAGACTGTGACAAATTAATCAGTAAACAATTTTACTACAAATTCATTCAATTAAATTATGTGTTTTATTGGATATTATTTACAAGCTCTCAAAAACCTCGATCATAAAAAGTAGTTCCTAAATATGAAAAATATCTGAAACTATGACAAATTCATGTGAAAACATATTTTTGCGGTTATAAAAAAGTGAATGAGTGTCTTTTTTGTTATGAATATTAATTCTTTCAAGGCGTACTTATTAATATGGAAAATCCTCAACTTGATGACCAATGATGGGTGATAAATACTTTTTCTTTGTATTTTTTAACATCCGCCAAATGAGCCTACAAATTATATACAAGCATCCCGATACTGTACATTTATTTTTCAGGGTAGGGAACAACATTGCAGTTTTGAAGGGCAACAAAAGAAGCGCTCTATTCCGTTTTTACCCCATAGGGGTTAATTCCAGGAGTCCATGACCCCTGATGAATGCACGTGAGTGTACGTGGAATGTATTTATGTATTAAGCCACACACATAGAACTGACATATGAGCATATGAAACTGCAGACTGATAAGGCGAGTTACGAGGAAATCAAGAATTCCAGGAGATACTTAAGCTGCAGCAAACGATTTGATATGACACGACTTCCGATTGATCTGTGGAATGCTCTATTCCACAAAAACAAATTAATTTCTATACTTTTTCCCCGACTAAAATTAGCCGCAGCATCGCGGCGACAAACCATACGAACAACAACAACAACGGGGTGGCACACCACCACAAACATCTTTAGTATTTCTGAGTATGTATTACATTGTACATCCGAGCACACTTTGTACTTTATATATATATATATGTATATATACAATTCGATTTGTTTTTCACTCGAGAACCACCAGCATCCTCTGAATCGCTCTTATCCACAGTGATGTACACAGTAAGCAATAAATACAAATCAATCTATCACTTTCGTATCTCGTAGTGCAATATAAACAATTGCACTTATGTACAGAAATGTATGTACAATCAAACACTAACACACCCGCACTTCGCTTGACCCGCTGATTGTTCCTATTTACATATATATATATGAGTAAGTGTGTATATGGCACGATTGATAGCCGAGAGGCAAGCAAAATAAACCGAAAATGCTCTTTGGACGTCCAAATAAACCGAAAGCTAGAACATAACTGAATAACTGACGATGCGACCGATTAAGAGAGACCCTCGATTTTCAGAGAGAGGAAAACTCAGACTCATCTGCGAGGAAAGGAAAACGCGCTCAGCAGATGTTACGCATTTCCCACTGCGGAATAGCCGGAGCCGTACACTACGAGAAAAGTTACAAGGTCCCTTTATTAAAGAGTTTTAAATAATCTGCTGCCTACTTTAAAGATCCAAACATAATTCATTTTGCTTTCACATTCATCCTAAAAAAAAATTTAATAAGCTAAATATTTTTAAAAAAATGTATAATATTTATTGAAAATTACTGTATAATAAAAATAAAATAACGAAGATCACTGGATATGCGCTCCGTGGTTCTACCTTCTATCACAAATTTAAATCTTTGTTAAATTCCGCAAAAGAGGCTTCAGTCGGACTTTGAGTGATATTTTTAAGCGAAATATAAAAATAATGATTATTTTGTGGATCAATTTTTTTAAATTAAAAATATTGATTATTGTGTGTTTAAAAAAAAACTCGTAATCATTACGGTCCCTGGTAAAAAATCATCTTTACAAGATGTATGCTTGTACTTTAGATTTTATTTTAATTTGTACTTTAAAATGGTACACGAATAATGATCTGAAATCATAAATATTTTGTTATGGTGCCCGCCATGGTTGAAATTTTTTTCAGTGTAATTGTGTTATTGTTGCTCTCTTCCAATTTTTGGGGTGGGTACTCACCCACGATGTAGTGGTGTTCGTGAGTGTACCTCCCCCTATGGGGCCGAGTGCTACGGATCTGGGAGAGCTCCCGCTGGGAGAGCGGTAGTTCCCGATCACAGTGGGCTCAATCGCAGTGTCACATGTCGATCATCTGCTGCGCACTCGCAGTAAACAAGGAATAAAGTGGGTTTAAATTTTAAATCAACTCTTATTGGCTAAGTAATGTGTTTATACTGTCACTTCCTTACTTACTCGTCTATACTTTTGGACAGGGCCTCCGCCAGTTTGCGCAGCACCCTCCTGTCAATTTCCGAAGCGCCATTCTCCTCCAGAAAACTGGTCACCGTCTCAATCAAGGAGATTTCCCTCAAGGACGACGCACAGGTGCCATTCCCATCGCCGCAATAGTCCCGCAAAACCTGCTTAGACTGGTCCATTTGGAGGTCCTTCAAAGTCTGGCTTTGTGTACAATATTTCCAACACTTAACAATTTCACAAAAGGACGCTAACAATTAGGTTTTTTTTTTTTGTTTGGAAAATGAAGCGCGCTGGAACAGCTGTTTTTGGCGTCAGTTATCGGAATGCAACCAGCTCGGCTTCGGCCTTGCCACATGGCAGGAAAAAGGTGTCACCGCGGGGTGGCAGCCCTATTTGTCGATTTCCATTTCTGGAAAGTCGATTCGATTCTTATCGATGGTAAACAACATCGACGGTTTACGGAAATTAGCATTTGCCTGATAAGCAACTAGAACACGGCGGCCACAGATATAACACCATGCTATAAACGCTCCGCGGGCACGTTTCGTCAGCCCCAAATCAAAACCAGACCAACTTCAGTCGGGGGGCAGCAAACAGGGAGAAAAGAAAATAAACTGCAGTAGAAAAGCTCCACCTCAAAAGCAGCAACAATGTTTGCCACACTGAAAAACAAAATCAAGGAGGAAACTGGCGAGGATGTGGTCCACTCGGCCAGCCAGCGTTATCCCAGCAACAACAACAACAACTACCGGCTACGTAGCCGCCGCGTGAGCATTAATTCCAACTCGGCTGATGATGTGGGCGGTGGCGTATTCTACAATGAGGTGAGCGAAAAAAAAAACAGTCTATTTGTGTATACACAGGTAAAAACTTCTGTTCCCCTTTGCAGTCGGAACAACTGTGCCAGCTGCGTAGTCAATGTAACGAGCTCACCACCAAGCTGTCCACCGTCACGCAGGGATTGCAGCAGTTGCAGGAGGAGAAGACGCGCGTGGACAAGACCAACGAGATCCTGCTGGAGAGCGTGCGGGTGGCCCAGACGCAGAAGGACATGTACTGCGAGGAGCAGGAGAAGATCCAGAATCTGCAGCAGATCGAGATTGACAAGCTGAAGAACCTGCTCAGCTTCCGGGAGCAGGAGTCGGTGGATCGCATGGGCCACATGCGCCAGCAGAGCCAGCAAATCGAGTCCCTGAGCGAGGAGCTGGAGCGCCTGCGTCCCATCGAATCCGTGGCCGAAGATCTGCGTGACGAACTGGAGCAGTTGCGGCACTCCACGCAGCAGGAGAAGAACCTGCTGACCACCACACTGGCGGCGGTGCAGGAGGAGAACCGGCACCTGAAGAAGCGCATGAAGATCGTGGAGGAGTCGCGCCTGGAGTCACTGGGCAAGCTGAACTCGGAGCAGCAAGTGCAGGCCCTCATCCGGGAACACAAGCTGCTGGAGCAGCACCTGGAAGAGGCCCATCTGCAGCTGTCGGACATCAAAGGGATCCTGGAGTGGCCAGAACCTGGCGCTCGAAACGCAAGTCAGTCGATTATCAAAGCAAGTGGCTGAGGAAACTACCGAGAAGCGAAAGGCCCTCAAATCCCGCGATGATGCCATCGAAAGCCGCAAGCAGGTCTCGTTCGAACTGGAGAAGGCCAAGGATGAAGTCAAGCAGCGGGACGACAAGGTGGGTTGGTCGACAATCCACCAAAACTATCGTTAAAACCATGAAATTCCAGGTCAAGCTGCTGGAGGAGGAAATCGACGAGCTGAGTGTGGCACTAAAAGAATGCCGAGAGGAGAACGAGCAGCAGATCCTCTTTGAGCGCAACAAATCTGTGAGTATGCCTCCCGATGCCGACGATTTCCATTGGGACTTGTAACACTAACAAACCCTACAATGCTGTACTAACCATAACACTTAAGTTCAGGTTTAACTTAACACCACTTTTTGGGCGACCACACCTATTATGTAGTTTTCGATTGTACATGTTTTCCTTTCCGTATTAAACTGATTTTTAATCGTTGGCAAACTGATTGGTAACCTTCTTCCTTGAACAATGCACGCATATCTATTTACGTTCAATATCCTATTCCGCTTGATGGAGATTTTGTAAACCAATAAACCGAATGTTCTCAGCAAAATCTGGAAGCAGAGGTAAAAGATCTCAAGACTCGTCTCACGGCGGCCGATGACCGGTTCACCGAGTACGCCTCGAATGCCGAGCAGGTGGCCCAAAAGCTGCGCACCCAAGCGACTGACAGGCAGGAGCAGCTGGACGAAACCATCATGCAGCTGGAAATCGAGCGAGAGGAGAAAATGACTGCAATACTTCGCAATGCGGAGATCGCCCAGAGCGAGGACATTTTACGGCAGCAGTTGCGCTTGGAGCGCAGCGAAGCCACCGATCTACAGGATAGGAATAATCAACTGGAGAGGGATATAACTGAGGCACGACAAACGCTGCAACAGGTCAGCAGCACAGCCCAAGATAATGCTCAAAAGTTGACCGAGTTCGAGGGAGTTCAGTTGGAAATAATCGAGAAAAATAAGGTGAGATAAGAGGCTATTAACTATTACATCTATCATAACTAACCACTTTATGTTCTAGACAATAAAAACCTTGAATCAGCGATTGGTTGACCTGAAGAAAACAGTGCAAAAGGAATTCCGTAGTGCGCAGATATCCACGGATACCGAATCTCATCCGACAACGATCCCTGGCCACAGAATCTCAAGCTCATCGCCGGAGGCATTTACATCCGGCGACAAGGGCAATTGCATCATAATGGATGAGGTTAACTTTCAATATTTGAAACATGTCATCGTGAAGTTCTTGACCAGCCGCGAGGTATGTTATTTTATCCATTTACTGCTCAATTATCCCCAAATTCATGCTAATTCCCTTAGGTGGAAGCACGTCATCTGGTCCGTGCCGTTTCCACTTTACTCCAACTGACATCGGAGGAGGAAAAGCTGCTGCATGACACTCTGAATTGGAAAATGAGCTGGTTCGGCATGAAACCAACTTAAAAATACCCAGTGCAATAAATCATATTTGTATTCTAGTCTGTAGTCAATTCATAACGTTCGTGTATATGTACATACCAATTACATACGCAGCACTGTGTTATTTTGTTTACCGACAACATTCCATTTTGTTAAATAGTATTTATTTCTACCGTTGTGATTTTTATAATAAACTACCATTTATGTAGATTCATGTCTTTTGATTTTGGAGAAGGGATTTTGTAGTTTATCAAAATGGAACTTGAATCGATGTAGATATTAGCTGTATAATACATATATTTTACTTTACCTGATACTAACCTTTCCTTTCTGTGGCGCCATCTATGAATGGGTAGACTTAACTGATTATTCAGAACTCCATAAATAAAAGTCAATATTTAATTTTGTTAAAAATACTGCATTTTACATTTAAAAATATTTGTTGTTACATATTAAGTTCTCTAAAATTAACTATAAATATGATTTTTACCTCATTTTTTGTATTGCAAAAACCTACTATGTATGAATAACTAACTATTCATTTGTATTATCTATGAATAAATGATATAGGAGAATTTAAGAATAAACAAAAAACACACGTATTACTGAGGCACTTTTTGGTGTTTATAACAATTAAGAAGACAGTTGAATTAGTCGCACATTCGTCAATATTGCTTTCATAATAGAATTAACTATTTACACTTTAGAACTAAATATTAAACTAAGTCTAGGTGTTAAATGCATTTAAATCAAAACTGCGTAGTTGGTTTTAAATTAATTGTGAATTTTCTGTCAGGTTTCGGAAAATTTGGCACACGGAATTTCAAAAGACTCGCTTATTAAATATTACATTGTTTAGAGCTAAGGTAATTGCTAATAATTGCATTTCGCTTACAAAAATCTGCAGTCTATTGTTGCGCAACGGTTGCAATGCAAATTGTAGTGCAATCTACTTCGGGCTATCTGGCAAAATGAAACTTAACGAGATCGAATAAGTCCTCCAGGCATGGACGCTCTCTCTAAGCTATGATTAAAATTAGTTAAAGCCTTAAATGACCAATTAAACACACACATACATATTTACAAATCAGTGGTAGAAAGTAATAAAATTGATAGAACAAAAAGCTCTGCAAAGAAATGATATGTTCCTCTTTCTTTCGCCTTACATGTAAATCTCAAAATGTTACGTGAAACCCCGACTGGGCGACTGAACGGGCGATGGCGGGGGCGGAAGCGGCGAAAAGTACGTGGAGCTCCGTGACGACGGCGATGGCGGGCAGGAGGACTCCGGCACAATGCGAACGTCGCTGTGGTAGTGCGAGCGCGGTGTCGGCGGCGGCGGATACGGCTCACTATCGTAGCCGTATTGCAGGCAGGCGGCCGCCGAGCTGGAAGAATGCTTCGTGGCCCCTCCATTGCTGTTATTGCTGTTCGATTTGCTCGTGTAATTCGAGTCGGACTCATCACAAATGTCCGTGGAGCAGGGCGTTGGTGGCGGTGGCTGGTTGATGATCTTGTAGTGCCTGTACGGACGTCTCGATCTGGTCGCCGGCGAGGGTGGCGGATTAATGGGATATGCCACCATGCTGCTGCCATTCGTTGTTGAACTCGAGGCGCCAGTGATGTGATTGCGATCGTAGGAGTTCATGCTGTTGCGCGAATTGAGCGTGGACATGCGAACGGCATCCGCCACGGAGGCGATCTTGGACACCCTTTGGGATTTGCTCAGCGTTGAGGGTGACAATGGATCCGTGGCCTGATCGTCCTTTGGCTCCGTTCGGCTCTTGCCAATCCGCGTGCGGCAGAACTGCAACAGATAGACAATCGAGAAGATGGTAATCATGGTGGCTCCAATCAGTATCATAAATGCGCGCTTGTCCGTGGCGGGCGCCATGCGACGCTGCATGCAAATGTCTGAGGATTCATCGGCTCCATCGGCACAATTCTCCCAGCCATCGCAGAGCAGGGCGGCGGAGATGCAGAGCTAAAAGAGTTAAAACTATGTTATAAAAGTTTACCTCTTTCTGATTAAACAGACTCACCTTATTGATGGGACACTGAAACTCCCCTGGCCGCTTACAACAATCCGCCTCGTCATGACCATTGGCACAGTTGGTGGTGCCATCGCAGACCAGCGACTTGTCGATGCACTCGCCCGACTGGCAGCTAAACTGATCCGCCCGGCATGTGGGACAGCCCACCTCGTCCGACTTGTCCGGACAGTCCTTCTGTCCGTCGCAGCGCCAGGAGGCCGGTATGCAGTCCTTGTTCACGTCACTGATTCCCGATACGGGAGCCGCGCACGTGAAAGTGATCGGGTCCGCAGGCGGGAAAGGCGCCGCAGTTCTCCTTGTCCTCCAGCAGCATTAGATGCTTGGGGCAGGAGCAGATGTCGCGGGTGCGAGCCATTCCCTCGCCGCTGGCTATGCAGATGTGGGAGCACTTGGTGCGGCTGTGCAGGCAGGTGTGGTTGCGCAGCACCTTCGCATCGGGTGTCCAGACGGCACGGATGTCGGTGATTTGTGGCAGGCGCTGCAGCTCAGCGGATCGCCTTTCGCCCGTGACAGTGATGCGTTCCACACCGGTTTTGTCATCCAGCCAGTAGACAAATCCACCCAGGGCGGCGATATTGATCACTTGCGAGATGTGCATTGAAACCAGGGTTTTTCTAGTGGAAAATAGACAAAAAGTTAGAAAGAACCAAAAACCTCAATACTTTAAACTCACTTGTTCTTTCCATTAATATCGATGGCATCAATCCGCTTGCCGTGAGCATAGTAAATCATATCGGACTGCTGATCCAAAGCCAAGGCAGTGACGCCCTCCAGTTTGTAGGCCAACTCAACGCGCTCATTGCCGTCAACGCGGGCACGTATAATGGCCTGATGGCTGCCCACATCGGTCCAAAAGAGCAGACGCTTCATGGCGTGCACGGCAATGTTTCGAGGTTTTTCCGAATCCCCGGTATCGATGACGCCAACGGATTCGCCCAGGAAGCTTGAGAAAGAAAGTATTTATAAAGAAAATTGCTTTTACTCCAAGTTCAATCATATATTTACCTAGTTACATTAATACTATTGGACTGGGAGCACGTCCAGAAGAGCAGACGCCCAATGATATCGATGGCTAGGTCAAAAGGTTGCCCAGAATTTGCCAGCAAGCTAACCTTGGTTCCGTTTGCCAGAGATCGCTTGATGCTGTGACTTCTGCCCTCAATCTGGAATTTATCAAAACTTAAAGATTATTTTAATATTAAAAAATGCGTAAAGTTGTAAATGTTGATTATAGCTTTACTTCAAAATTGTAAATAGGTTTAGTGTGAAACATTTAATTTATTTGAATGAAGTAAGTAATCTTTGAATTTTTGTGTATTTAATTCTAAGCCCTCTGCCTTTCATTCATTCATTTGATTCTATTAAACTCAAATTCCAAATTGATTCATTTACATTTAGGAAAACAATTCAAAGTAATTCATTGAATCCATTCATGCAGGGCTCTAGTATCTAACAAGCCGACCCTAAAGCTTACCCAATAAATGTGATGAGAGATGGGATCATAGTCCACAGCACGAATATTCTTGCCCGACACGGGCAGCGGAATATTCGGGCAATCTGTGGTGTTCGGCAGCAACCTTCCGAAGCTGTTCCGCTGGCTGAAGATGATGTAGTTCTTGGGCGGAATGCAGGAGACGCCGTCCTTGGCCAACTGGTAGTGGGTGGGGCAGGCGCAGGTCATTCCCCGCCTTCCGGGTTGCGACAAACAGAGGTGCGAGCAGCCTCCATTATTCACCTTGCAGGGATTCTGCCCAGTCTGTCGCTTATCGTTGAACACCAGCAGCGAGGTGATGTAAGTCATGCCCGAGTGAACGAGGCTGCGATTCTGACCCGTCGTCTTGTGCACGCGCTCAATGTCGCCGGTGTTCCAGTCGCTCCAGTACACATAGTCCTGGTACAAGGACACCGCATACGGCTCGTCCATGTCGCTGCCCACCAGAATCTGCCGCTTCTTGCCGTCCCAATCGGCGCTTTCGATTTTAGCTGGCCGCGATTGGGTGGCCCAGTACAGACGCCTCGTCTCCTGATCGAATGTAAGTCCGGCGGCATGATTAGCGCCCACTACGATTGTCTGCAATTCGGTTCCATCCATGGCCGCCCGGCGAATCGAGTCCGTCGGCGATTCCGTCCAGTACATGTAACCGCGTCGCGGCTCCAGCACCAGGGATCGTGGCTCCTCCACTCCCTTCCAGAGCAGCACCCTCCGGCTGCTTCCGTCCAAACGGGCCACCTCAATGCGCCGCGCCTCGGCATCCGACCAGTAGATATTATTGGCCAACCAATCGACGGCAATGCCATCGGGTCCAATCAGACCCGAGTCCACAATCCGCTGCACATAGGAGCCATTCAGGAAGGCCCGAAAGATGCACTTGCTCTTCTGATCCGTCCAGTAAATCCTCCGCTCCGAAACAGACACATCCAGGGCATGGGCATCGCGCACATCCTTGAAGGGTATCCTTTCATCGTTGTGATTGCCCTCGTTGTACTCAATGGAAATCCGACCAATGTGCTCTTGGCGGGAGAACAGAAGAAAGGCAGCTGGCACCACACAGGTGCGCTTATCGTTGGCCAACTCGTAGTCGATGGCACAGCGGCACACGTAATCCCTCGGCCGATTCAGGCAGAGATGCGAGCAGCCTCCGTTCCGCACAGCACAAGCATTCTGACCGCGCACTTCCCTTAAACGAGTCACCTTGAGGCCCATTAAATCCGGATACTGATCCACCACCACTATCCGATTATTTCCAGTGATCTTGTGGGCCCTATCTATGGAGCGACGCTGCCAATCTGTCCAATACAAGTAGTCATCCAGGATGCTCAGGCCAAACAGATGCTTCAGATTATCGCTAATCACGACGCGCCGGCCGGAGCCATCCATGTTGGCCACCTCGATTTTGTCCGTCTTGCCATCGCACCAGTAGATCGCCTTGGCCTCGATGTCCAAGGCAATGCCGTTGGGCCAACCGAGGTTCTCGGAGACCAGAACCACACGCTCCGATCCGTCCAGCGATGCCCGCTCCACCTTGGGCTTGCGCTCGTTCCAATCGCTCCAGAACATCCAGCCCAGCGAAGGTGCCACCGCAATGGCTCTCGGCTCCTCCAGATGCTCGTAGATCAGCACCTTCCTGGCCGTTCCGTCCAGGCGACACACCTCAATCCGATCCGTCACCGTATCCGTCCAGTACAGATTGCGAGCCAGCCAATCCAGCGCCAAGCCATCGGGATGACGCACCTCGGAGGTCACAAAGTCCGTGACTCCCGTGCCATCGGCATGAGCTCGTTTGATCGTATACGTTTCCACATCGGACCAATAGATATGCTCCTCCACCGGATCGTAATCGATGGCTATGGCATACCTCACCTTGCCCAAGGGGAGCGGGAATATGGTGTAATCGGGCGAGTCCAGGGATATCTTACTGATCTGCGTTCTCTGCACAATAAACATCATTTCCTGCGATCCCATTGGCACAGATATTCGGGGAGATTAGCTTGACGCCCGTGGGACAGGCGCAACTAAAGCCCTTGCGAGTTCGTGGCCAGCAGGCAGAGATGCGAGCAGTTGCCATTGTTGTGGGCACACGGATTATCCTCGTATGGCTGCAGCGAGGGATCCCAGGCTCGCACAGAATTCGGCGCCTTGGGCGTGTCAATCAGCTCCTTTAGCTCACGGGTCTGCAGATCCAACGCATTCAGCGATCCCCTCTGCCAGTCCGTCCAGTAAAGACGGTCGTCGAAAAAGGTCAAACTAAAGGGGTACTTCAGGTTGTTGACTATCGTCCGCCGACTGCTTCCATCCAGCCGCATCACATCGATGAAGTGGTGCTTGCCATCCGTCCAGTAAATCAGTTCGTTCTTCAGGTCTACGGCCAATCCATTGGGCCAGAACACATGCTCCTTGACCAACGTCATGCGAGACAGCGGATCGCCATCCATGCTGGCCCGCTCGATCTTCGGGTACTCGCCCCAATCCGTCCAGATGAGCAGCTTGCGAGCGGGAACCACGGCCACCGCACGCGGCTGATCGAGATCCGTCCAGAAGAGCACCTTCTGGTAGCGGCCATCCAGCGTGGCCACCTCAATCCGGTTCTTCTCGCCGTCCGTCCAGTAGATTTTGTCCGTATACCAGTCGATGGCCAGACCCTCGGGCTTATCGAGACCCGTGGATATCACAGTTTGCTTCGGCGCCCGCAAAAGCGGCTGCAGCGCCGAGGAGTTGGTGTGGGCGCACTCGATGATCTCCCGGCCGGAATCCGTCCAGCAGACCAGGTTCTTGGCGTAGTAGAAATCGATGGCCATCGCCTCGGCCAGATCGCGGACAATCACATCGATCTGAGGTCCGCCCGTGGGCCTCGTGATGTTCGCCACCTGGATGTCGTGGCGCGTGGTGAAGAGCAGGGTGGCCGGCGTGTTCACGAACGCACTGGCGGGCGGGCTGGCTATCAGAGATGAGGAGCTGGGCATGTGAACTGCAAGTAAATGGAATTTAAAAATAATATTAGCATAGCTATATACTAAAAAAAAACTTGATAATATCAAGTTGATATGAAATGATGATCAATTTGATGTTATGTCGTATCAATTTTGACTTGATAAGCTCGAAAAGTAAACCAAATGCTCTGGGAAGGTCAGTTCGTATTTGGAACACCAGAAATTTACCATGCGCATATCGATTTGATATAAATATTGACTTGATAAGCTCAAAAGGTAAACCAAATCCTATAGGAAGGTCAGTTCGATTTGATACCGCCTTGTTATATCTTTTTGTGTAGATAAAATTTATAATTTTTAAACAACTTCTAGCTTAAAGAAGCTAAAGTTTATGGTTAAGTTAAGGAGCTGGAAAACTTCTAATTAACAAATGCAAATGGAATTTAAACGTAATATAAGTCGAACTAATACAAAAAAACACTATAAGTACCAGAAATTTACCGTGCGCATATCGATTTGATACCACCATGTTTTTTTTTGGTGTAGGTGAAATATAGAATTTTTAAAGAACTTCCAGCTTAAAGTATCTAAAGTTATTAGTTAAGTTAAGGGTCTGGGAAACTTCTAATTAACAAATGCAATATTCAAAAGGCCGCAGGAGGTGGCAGCTGGGTGCCACAGCCATCAAGAATTAAATAAGCAACCAGGTTCGCCGGCTCGAGTGGTTAACAATATGGCAGAGCCGGAATTGTTGCCGTAGCAAATGGTAAATGCAATCGCCACTACGCCCAGGCAGCTCTTTGTTTACCATTTATGTGCATGTGCCTGCGCTTAAGTTTGAGTATGAGTATGAGTATGAGCATGAGTACATATGTGGGTGGGCGGGTTCTCCACTCCAAGCTGCAAGCTGCTAGCTGCTGTTCGCTGCTGCGCTGATCTAATTGCGTATGAATAAGCGCATGGAGGCGCACCAGGTGGAACAAATTTCAGCTGGTTGTCTACTGCACTGCCAATGGAAATACCCTGATAGGTATACTGAGCGCTTGAAAGCTGCGGAGCTTGTTTTAAAATATTAATTTAATTTCATCTAAGTGCACTGGATTTTTGCATTTTTTACATAATTTTAAGTTATTTGAAAAAATATTATTAAACTTTGTAGGATTTTATTCAAATAAATTTATATAATCAAACCTATCTTAAACCCTGAAATGTAGTATTTTGCAATAGAATTAATATTCCATATCACAAGACGTTTACGACTGGAAGCTGGGAACTTTGGGTTACTTTTACGGACAATTAAATATTAAAATCCTTACCTATAAAGCCCCTAATATAACGGATTTGTAAGAATTCCTTGAAGAATGTTTATACATATTATCTGAAATATACCCCATTCCGTCTTTTGATACTCACGGAACTCGAGCTTTTCTTGTAGACTATTTTGAAGAGAAATCCACTTTCAGTTGCAAAATGTTGACCCACAACAGGCAACAGGAGCTGTGCGGAATGTAATCCCTATCCCCCGATCCCCAAACTGTCAGCGCGTCAGGCATTTGCAATATTTATGCAACCAGGCGGAGGAGCAGCCGACTCTCGAGTAATCCATCAAGCATCGTGGGCTTTCGGGGGGTTGGGAGAGATGGCAGGGGAACGGAAACAAAAATGGTGACATTTCGCAAAGTGGGTTGGTTGCTTGCTTGGTTGCCTGCTCATACGCCATCAAGCGTGCACACGCCCACTTTTCCGCATCCCGCCCCTTTTTTTATTCCCCTTTTTTCGCAGAACCCCCCATCACCTGGTAGTTGGCCCCGGGTGCAGCAACAGGATTTATGTGCCAAGTGTGCAAATTCAAGAATATTTACATACTACATACAGATATCCATATGCGTGCCGATTAATGTTTGCCTAGCTGTTCTCTGGGATCGTTCGATAATAGTGCTAATGCTGGAATCCTATATCCACAATATGTTCGGAAGTATTGTGCACCGTAATCCAGGGGCTGCTGACAATGGGAATACGGCTAGATGACGTTGCTGTTTGGGTGGATGGACCAACAGCACTTAACTGCAAATCCTTGTATATTATTCACATTTTTTATGCTCCTCCGCAGACGGCAGTGAAGCGTTAAGAAATCAACATCATTACCAACGAAAACAAAAACAAAAACAACATCAACAGGGGCAGCAACAAAAACAACATCACCAGACATGCTCATCAAGTCGAGTACCGCAGCCAAGGAGAGAAGTCCCCCAAACAACCATCTCGTTTTCCTGCACACCACAAAAAAAAAGGAAAAAAAAAATAAATAGAAAAAAGTTTCCAACAGGAAATAATCGTATTTTCTGATTTTGTAATCTTCTTGTAGCCAGATAAATGGAAAATTCCTTAAGATTTATTGGCTTACAAGCACACTACGAAGTTATTTTGATCTTAAGTGCCAAAGAATCCGTAGAAATCCCAAGTCTCCAGAGCTTTAAAGAGGATTCTGAATAGAAATGTAATCCGATTTCTTTAGATATATTTTTCCTTGCAGTGTAGTCACACACACTCGACCGAAATTGAAATGCAGACGAAGCCAGCGGAGATGGAACCGTGGCCTAACCCGTTGATTCCTCCTGCCTGCACTTCATTCAAACTTGGGAAAATATTTTAATTATTAATGTATACAACTGGGGTCGGGTTGGTTCGGTTCGGATCGGGACAAGAGGTTGGCTCCAGTGGGAGCAGGAGTTGAGGGAAATGGAAAAGCAGGAGCAGCTGCCGAGGGTATAGAAATGGGCAACGGATGCGCATGTGAATGATGCGGAGCTTGACGATTGGCACTGGGTTTGGGTTTGGGTTGGTTGGTTGCCATTTCCCCACCCAAGGCTTGTGGCAAAATGGCATAATTCGGTTGACCGAGTCGACAATTTGAACGCCACGGCACATGGCGACCCCCGTGGTCCAGGTGAAGGCGCTCCACCAAGGGAAGCTGGCAGCAACAACTGCACTTAAATGCTAAATGAGTGCAAGTGCTGTTATTGTTAGCCAACTGGAGCGGGGCGGGATCTCGGGAAACTCTGCGAATCCGGTGGATAGTGGGCAGCTTCGGGGAGGCGGTGGTGGTGCTGCAGCACCATGGAAACTTTAAGTGAGCACTATGATGGGGCAGGAGCAGGATGCTGCCACTCCATCCGCATCCCGGCAATGGCAACACTCGAGTCCTGCCGCTGAAATGGGTGGCAGCTGATGTCTCGGCCCCTCGCCGCACTAGTTGCAACGGAAGTTGCAGCTATTTAAATGTGTTGAAGAGCCTGGGCCCCGGCTAAATAGGCGGTAGGTAGAATAGCACAACAGTTCACCAGTTGGCTGCCAGGAAAGCTGCCTGGCATCTAGTCAACCATCCGTACGATATGCCACTGCTCACTGCTCACTGCTCACGTTGTTGTAGTTGCTCCTCGCATTTTGCATGAACTCATTGTTGTACTTGTTGTTGGCTAAGGGCAGAGTGCACCCAGAATTGTGGGGTTACACTGCGGGGAATTACTAATGATGGATACATCCATAAAATCGTTTTTTCTGACAACTCAAAGTTTTTAAACAAAAGTTTATAAAACCTTCTAGTAGACCCATTTCAAAACGATACGAGGCATCTAAACTTTAAACTGAATTTTAAACTATTAAAAGTACACACAAAAAAGAACACGCCGGAATCAATTCGATAAGCGAGAATAACTAATTTACTTAATTAGAAGTAGAGCAGGATAGCGCTTAAAGTTAGATGAGTGGAACTGGCATATCGAATTGATATGCCGCTTATAATATCCAATTGATATCTTATAATATAAAATCATCGTTTTATATCTTACGAATTCCCATTTTAATAACTTCCAAACTAATGGAAACTAGCACACAATTATCTTTCAAATAAATCATTGGGTTCTTTTATTTAAAGGAATTAACTTTAGAGGAAATAATTTTAAAGCCTTTATAAACAAATTTGTCCTTTGCGGTCGATTGGATAATCGAGAACCATATAGGTAAATGTATCTTCCCTTTTTTAGAGGCTCTCATTTTCTATCACCAATTTTCCCCAATTTTTTTTCACTGTGCTGCTGGCTCTCTCTCTCTGCCACGCTCCATAATTAATTTCGCTCATGAATAATTTTTAATTAAATGTGCAAAAGCAGAAGGAAGAAAAAACTGCACTAAAATAGCATTGAAAGGAGCAATGTGCCCGCTTTTGTCATGACCCCTTTCTCACCCCTCCAGCCAAACTGGAGAGAGAGCTGAGCTGGTGAATTCACCATTCCAGCATGGAATTCATAACCAAATTGAACATAAATAAATAAATATATACCTCGGGAGTAGGAGGATACAAATCAGGAGGTGAAGAAACCACAAGTGCAGTGGCATCCGGAGTTCGAGACCCTGAAGAGCAGCTACTTGAGGTAGCAAAACTTTCAAGAGCCCCACAGATGAGGAACTGTACGTGCATAAACGAGGCTGTTATCAACTGTCGTCCATTAGGCGTCCGCCACATCTCAGCATGCATCATGCCGGAGTGCCGGCTGAATGCTCAATAAATTATATATGTAACATGCTTTTTATCAATTACTCGCACCTTCAAGCCTGCCAGACGACAGACGACAAGCAGCAGCAATGTCCATGGCAAATTGCGGGACAAAACGTAAAGTTGGAAAGGAGGCAACGAAGGCAAAGAGTTAAAGCCGGGCGAGAGCAGAGCAGACCAGACGACCATGCCAACGACGAGCTGGGACTTCGAAAACTTCGTTGGCAGCAAATGCAATTCCAGCCAGTAAATGGAGACGGCAGACTCGGCTATCCGAGTCCAAAGGCGTTAACAAGTGTGGCAGCCAAAAGGGAGCTTGGCCAGCTCTGGGCTCCTGAAAGTTTTCCATTAGGTTCGCCCTGCCTCGGTTTCGAGACCACAGTCAAGCCTCTATAAATAAGAACTTTACTTTATTGCCATAGGAAAACTTAGGATAAGGTTGATTTTATATTTAAAGAAGATTAATATGTTTTTTATTCATTCAAA